TATATAACAAATATATTGAAGTATGCCAAAGAACAAGTAGAGAGAAGGAAATGGCTCAATTTATGTTGTTAGGTTGCCAAAGAAATGACTCAATTGATGTTTGATTTGTTAGGTTTCCATGGGAGATTACCATATGAATATCTTAAAATTGACGCTTTTGGGAGAACTGTTGTACATAGCTTCCGTAATAAATAAGTGGTAAGTTTTTAGAAAAAAAATTAATGTCTTTAGACTTTTGGTTTTGATCTTCATGTGTTGTTGTTGATATGCATATTGTTCAAATGATAGTTTCAACTTTAAAATGTAAAGTATGTAGATTATGTACTTTAGTGTTAAGAATTGTATTGATTTTATTGGTTTAGGACTAAGTGCTTAATCCATATTGTGATCTAAAGACAATGAACTATAAAAACCCTGTCAAAGTATGTTCAGATTGATTCTTTAACTTCATCTTTTCATGATTACATTTTTTTAGCAAATCTTTGATTACTCATTACGCTTTGTATTATCAAAAATGTTTTACTTCTCAACCGTGGTTTCCACGGGTTTAAACCTATTATTTATCCTAATAAATAAGTACCATATTTGCCACGTGGCATTCTCTTAGCCCCTTCCCATTGATTTTTCCCGCTTAAATTAGGAAAGTGAAATTCCGAATTTGCCCTCTAAATTTGACATATAAATTCTATGGTATGCAATTTTGAAATAGAAGTGGGACCTCATGCAGTGGTTCATTGTAATAATGCAAGATTCGTGAACTATAGGTGTCACAACCCACTAAAGTCATAATATTCTTCTCATTTAGGAAAAAGTAAAAGATTTCCCTAGCCGTATAGAAAATGTTATTTAATGACAATGAAAACAATTTGTTCAATTATTTGCTAATTTTGTTCGGTTAGACGGTTACTATTTATTACTATTTTTTCTGTGATGATGATGTTTCAAGATTGGACTTAACATGCCATATTTAACGGGATCATTCCTATCATTTCATTCAAATTCAATATATATATATTTTGAAATAAAATATCAAACAATTTTCTTCCCCACTTGGATTTAATTATTATATGATAATTATCTTTTGTTCTTAAGCTACCAAATATATATTATATTTTAGTTTGATAATACATGCTTATTGATATTTAATGTTTGGTTAATTGATTTGGTAATCCATGGTTGATATTATGTAGACTCATTTATTGTTCATATTATGCTAATGATACATCATCTAAGTTTAACCAGATTGCAGATTAAAGTGTTTTGGCTGTAAGGAAGTCAAAGTTTAGAATGGATAAAGACACATACGAGTACAATAATAATGGTAATTCATGTCTGTACTTTCTCTAATTTGTTAATTAGAGCATCATACTTCCATTTCTTTCTATTACAACATCCTACTTTGAAAAATTGCAAGTACAATGCTATAATTTTGGATATCTACCCCTTACAATGCATTATTAAGATAAAAAGTTATAAGTATAATGTTAAAATTGAAAGAACTGATAGTAGGGTGCTATAAAACACAAAGAAATGGAAGTATGTTTTTATATCTATAATTTATAGATTGATTTGTATTGTAGTTTTCACATGGTGACAATTCCTTATGAAGCATTTGGATAGCTGAATTCATACCCCATTGGTTGTCTAAGGAGATCTTTATTGTTTTTTATGACTAATTAAATTAAATTGGATCATTGTGTCATGAAAATGGACTAAAGTTTGTAACTATTTGTAGTTATCCACGTAATAACTTCATTTAACCTCAAACACAACACTATATATTTTTATGCGCCAAAATGGTAATTATGTAATTATATATAGTTTTGTGTAGTCAGGTTTTTTACTTAATTTACATCAACTTATTATAAGTTGGTTTTCATACAAGTATGTGATAGCATTTTACTTTCATTTTTGACAAATTATAACATTCTACTTTCACATTCCTTTTATTAAAATAACTTATCTTATTTTCATTTTAAACAATGATAGCATTGTACTTTCAGAAGTATGATTAAATTGCTCTCATCTACTTGAAAAGATTAACAACTTCAAAATTTGTATTAGTATATTATAACTTAAATTTTAATCTTGATAGCATATTCACTTTTATTGTGTTCTATATGTGTATGTGTATATGTCTTCTGTGTGTTTTATGCAGATTTCTTAAAGTAGTTTGCTATTAAAATTTATACATTCACTTAAAATATTATTTTCTTCTTCTATGTTTTATATTTACAGTCTTAATGGCCGGCCAAAACATCACTTTCGTAACGTATATTGGATATGCAACTAAATATATGTATTAATTTTAAATAGTCAATACAAAAAGTTTAAAAAAATATTAAATTTTATTAATAATTTAAATGTTTTATAAATATTTTACCCCTCAACTTACAGCACTCTTAAAAAAATTATAACCCATAATGACATCCAATTTTAATATTGAACAGTGGAAATTTAGTAAAATGGCATTTTTGTTCATATATTATTAAACATTATTATTTTGGTCTTTTCAAGTTCATACAACATTCATTTGATTGTGTATTATAAAGTATTGCATCTTTGTTTAACTGAGGTACCATATTTTTACGTCATTACTGTTATAGTATTTATTATTTGTAATTTTCTGCACGCACAACACATATAAGTACCATTTCTGTAAGTTTTTATAATGTGTACCAAATTTGTTTCATAGAAAAAGGACTAACTTTATAAAGTCGATAGTGTTTTTTTTTTTTTTTTTTGCATTAAATGACTCTTTTACCCCTCAACTTTCATCACTATTAAAAACATTATAACCCATAATATGTCCAATGTTTTTTTATAGTTATTAATTTTTGTTGTCTATATAAAAATTTTAATCGTACCACCCGTAGTTTCCACGGGTTATAACCTAGTGAGTGAATAAATGTACACAATATTCACGATATAATATTAAACATGTAAGCAAAAGTTATCAATAATCATAACAAAAGAAATAACACGTTAGTATAGATCATTTTTTATGACGTCCTAATTTTTTTATTTGTCGGTGTATGTAAACAATAGTAATGATAAACCATTAAACATGTTAGTAAAGATAATTTATCCTGACAGTTTAATTACATTCATGTCTCTAAAAGTCCACAATGACAACAATAATATTTATAAACGGTGACAATAAGTGAACATTTATGACTCTATAGGAAAAACACATCATTGTAATTGTATTATTCATGACAGTTATCGAAATAAGATTGAATGATAGATACATCTTCAAAAACACTCCACCATATAATGACGAGTTTGGCCTATAATAACGAGTTTTCATGGGTTATACTCATCACAATTGAACGAAAATAGAACTTATCATCAATGGCGCGGTCTTTCCTTTCATGTTGAATGAAAAAAAAAACGACATAATATGTCTATAATGACGGGTTCTTTACATGGATAAAATTGAGTTTTGTGGTAGTGAGCTCATCCCGAATCGATACCCACCGCCCTAAGTATAACAAAATAAGAATCTTTTAAAAGTTACCAGATAGTTAAGTTTGTACTAGTCAATAGATTGAGCCTCATCTTCTCATGTTAAGGAGGTTCAAAGGCAGATTTTTGGAAGACACTTCATTTCATCCCTAGTTATCCATTCCCACGTCATTTCTATTGTGCCCACCACTTTGACTTAGTTTTGACACATCCTACATGCATTTTACATTCGCTTGTCGACGATTCATTATATTAAATAATACGAAAAAGTTGAAGATATATGGTAAATTAATAAAAATAAAAATATTACTCCTACAAAATAAATGAAAGTTAATTTCAACGTATGTTACAAGAGAGATAATCTTTACCACTTTTATCACTTTAATGAGTTGTGTTAGAAGTGCTTTAGATAGTTTTCTGTTATAATTTACTTCTTGCTATAGTAATGTAAAGTATAAATTAGAATAATTCGTACAACATAAGATGCTAATTTATTTACTTCTTTTTTATAAGGAACAAAAGAATGTGTTAGATCTCCGTAAGCCTATGATCCTTACAACCTTAGGTAAATTACTTAAATCTATATAAAACATATCAAAAACCTAAATTACATTTTCCCTAAAAAAGTTTGGTCTTATTTATACATTAAATGAGTTAGGTCTATTTTAAAGGTAGTCAAATACCTAATATCTATGGAAAACCATTATTGTATCTATTTTAACACCACTGTAATATTCAAATTGACATATAATTTAATAAAAATATCATTTTATACTAAAAATTTTAGAAAAAAAAAATTAAATAAATGCGACATGAAACAAATTATAATCAAAAGAAACCACACAAGTATCTTGTTGTAATTGATAATTGACCAAAAGAAAATTACAATTATGTTCAAACCTATTCTAAGTTCAATAGTTCCATTAATCTTTGAATACAATTTCAAATTTAACAAAAGTAATTAATATTCAAATTTGATGATTGACCAAAAAATTGAAGGCTTGTTTGGACTCGTAATTTTTGAGAGATTCTAAATTTTAGCTTTTAAAAAAAAACTCAAAAAAAAATATGTTTGACAGAAGGATCTTTTACTTTTTAGCTTAAGTAAAAAGCTTCAAATTCAAAAATTATTTCAAGTAGTGTTTAAAAAAATCTCTTATATATTATCACAAAATTACTATATTGTCATTATGTTTCTATTTTATATTTTACAAAATGTCATTTTAAATATTTTAAATGTCTTCAGTTATTTTTGTTGAATACTCGTATATAAATAAAAACCGTAGTTTTCAGCTTGTAGCTAATTTTACCAAGTGTTCCTCAAAAATATCCATCATATAATAATACTATATACCAAACTTGACAAAACAATGTAGATATATGCATAATTGTATACATTATAATATAAGGTTTGAAAAATTGAAATTGACTTAAAGGATTAAGATTATGGTGGAAAGTTTGTTTCTATTATTTGTGGATAGAGTATATTTATGGCAATTAATTGGCGCCAAGAGAATTTGTATACCGGCCGAAAACCATATACGCCTAACAACCGGCCGCTGTCGTCCGTCTTCCCCCGCCTTATCCACCTGGTCCCCCGCCATCTTGTGGCTTCCCTTCGTGCTTAACTTGACCCCACGTCCGCTGTTCTTTGTCCTTGTTCCCCATTCCAGAAATTTCATCGGCAAATTGGTTCATTCACTGTTGCCATCTCATAAGCTTTTGAAATCGAATCCAAACGCTATTTGTAATCTCATTGCAGTTTCGTCTAATCACTGCTCATTTCCCATTGATTTTGCTATTTTGATTGAGGTTCAGTGAATGGAGAGAGTTGGTCGGAGTGAGCATGTGTCGATGCGATTCGGTCATTCACAGAGATCGTTCGAAAATGGAGCAAGTTCCTCTGATATGGCGCATGTGAAGAACCACGACAACGACAACGACAACGACGTCGATTTCGATGACGTGTTTGGCGGACCTCCGACGCGGACGAGGTACAGTTTTGGTGGTGGAAGAATCAAGTCGTCGGAGGAGTCCACCAGTTCTCCGTCTGGATTGGGTGAAAGGCCGATTTTCGGCGAGTCGTATAGTTCGCCGAGAAGACCTACCAGTGATGATTTCTACAACGATATTTTCAGGAGTAGTAGCGAGTCTGTTCGCTCGCCTAGATGGTCTTCTCCTACGCCTGGTTCGAGATCGTTAAGCCCTGCGCACCCTAAAATTGAGCCCTTCGCCAATTCAATTCCTACTGAATTCAGGTTTTTCTCACTTCTCTTTCTCTAAATTCATTGTTTCAAAGTACATTAACTTATCAAATTAGACGAATCTATCGTTGCTTTCGATTTCATATTTGATTATCTGGATTGGGTATTATAAACGTTGAAATCTTCCCCAAATTCCTGCTTTTCAAACAACTTTCCGTGATTTCCTTTCTCAAATTTTCTGATTTCGAATTTAGGGTTCGTGTATATGATGATGATACACTATTGTTTATTCATACTTTCCCTTTTTTCCCAATTCGCTAGCCTACCTCCCAGGATGAACAAAGCCGTAGACATTCCTGTATTTGGATCAAATCCACATTCATCCACCACCATTCTCTCTAGATTTTCAAGCCCAACAACCAAAGGGCTGGATGTTTTCGGAAATAATCAAGAACAACAATCCACAGAAAAGGAAACAGGCCACAAATCAAAGCCTAGAACAGCAAGAACAGGATCTCCAAGTAACGAATTTCACTTCTCTATACACAAATGGGCCAACGTAGGTGTTCCATTACTTATGTCTCTTCGTGGTAGTAAAGTTACTGCCATATCAATGGAAACCATGCAAGATTCTTCTTTCCAAAATGATAAATTATCAACAGAGAAAGAAGATATCAACCCTCCTTCTGCAACTTTAATGGAATCCATTGAGAAAGAAACTTCAATAATGAAACAAGTTAATGAAACCAAAGAACAAGGTAATGTCTGGTTTCACATATCTGATGAAATTTGTAACATTTGAAAGCTGATTATGTTTTTTCTGTGGGTTTAGGTTATGAAGAGGCTGCTTCCATTGATGTGGAAAAGAAAGAAAACATGGAGACAATGAGTGGTGTTATTGGTAAGAAGAAACTTGAGGTGAAAAAGATGAATAAATCTGTTATTGGATCACCTAAAAATCGAGTCAAAGGAATGGTCAAAGATTTCTTCAAGATATCAAATCAAGAAAAAAGTCCTCCAAAGACCAAAACAAATGTTGTCCATGGAAGTTTGAGCTCTAGATGGAAGACAACTGCAAAAAACCGAACTCATGAAGAAGTCAGTGGTAATCAAGAAAATGTAGAAATGGCAAAAAATGCTTCAAATAAAACATTTGATAGTGAAATACCTGAAGATATTATGAAAATGGTGCCCGATGATGACGCTGATGCTTCAACCACAATACCATTGGATAATAAAGCGCCTAAAGAAAATATAAAAATAAAAATAATACCAGATGCTTCATCTACAACAAAAAATGAGAAAATAGTTCCAGATGTTTCAAGAACTACATCATTGGATAGCAAAATGGATTCAGAAAATGTGAAAATGGCTCCAGATGCTTCATATATGGTAATTTTACTTACAATTATCTTAATTTCACTAACTTTATTTAACAAAAATCTATAATTATAAACCTTCCTTCTCATATTTCAATTCTGGATGTTTCAAAAATCGCCCGATCTTTTTTTTTTCGAAAATATTAGATATAATAAAATTATTATGTATGTAGTTATTAAAATAAAAAGTTCGAAGAAAGTATTATATGATCAGTATGAATTTAATATTTTTTATTGGGGAATAAAAAGAAAAACATTTATTGTATATCTAATAAAATTGATTAATTAGTGAAAATAAATAAAGAATTGAAACTTATATTAATGTTGTGTTTGGCGTGCCACAGCTAGCTGATAAGCTAGCTTATTTTTCGATCTTTTTTATGTTGTCGTGTTTGGCAAACCAAAAAGTAGCTTATAAGCTAGCTTTTTGAAAAGCTACTTACTTAGACTAGCTTTTTAGGAGCTTTTTTAAAAAATTTCAAATACACTCATTAATTAGTTATAGAAACACATACTCCTACATGTCCTTTTATGTAATTTTATATATTTTAGCTAGCTTTTCAGCTAGTTTTACCAAACGTTATTTTTTATCAGCTAGTTTTTTATTTAACAGCTAACTTTTTAGCTAACAGCTAGCTTTTCAGCTAGTACGCCAAACATAGCCTAAGGAGGCTAGATGTAATAGACACAAATATATAAAAGACAATGACAACGGATTTTTTTTTTAAATATTAGATATAATAAAATTATTCTGTATGTAGTTATAAAAATAAAAAGTTTGAAGAAAATATTATCTGATCAGTATGAATTTAATATTTTATATTGGGGAATTATATGAAAATAATAAAATAGATTAATTTGTGAAAATAAATAAGGAATTGAAATAAAATTACTCTTATATTAAGGGGGCTAGATGTAAATATGTAATAAACACAAAAACAAAATAAGCACTTATAATTTTATAAGTGGTTGAGCAAAATGTAAAAAAAAAAAAAAAAAAAAAAAACTATATATACTCTAATGATATTAACCATTTTAAAGCTTAATCTAAGTTTATAGATGTTTTAAGATGATCCCAATCTTATTGGGCTAGTCTATACTTTTTTTGTTTCCGGTGTTACACAAATAATATTACTACATTTGCGGTTTAATTTCTTTCTTTTACAAAATTTGTTGTTTTTAAGGTGGGGGAAAATTTTGAGAAGTCCAACAAGCCAAAATTTCCACAGAATCGTCCAATTAGAAAGCTCGAAGATATTTACTTTCAAAAGGATGCTTCATCAGCTTCTGGTTAGTTAAATAAAAACTCGAAGATATATGTCAATCCGATCATTGTAACCTAATATCATTTTGTTTGTTTTCTTTCTCAGAATCGGTTCCTCATGCCTCAAATGTTACTGTTGAAAACATAGACGATCCCTCCTTGGATAACTTCCATGTACACTTTTTCTCATTCTTCTTATTACTATTACTGTTACTGATGACTGATATTGTTGTTACTGTATAGGTAGAAGAATTGCCTCCAGTTGAGGACAAACTTTCGAAAACAGAAGAAGAATCTCTAGACACTAATGTAACTCTTTTCTTTTGCCAAATTAGCTATGATTATTTTTTTAATTTTAATCAAATTTCGTATTTAAACAAATAACATGATTGATTGTAGGGTTTGGACTCGAAGATCCATCTATGGTCAAGTGGAAGAAAAGGAAACATTCGTTCCCTACTCTCCACTTTACAACTTGTAAGCCCAAGACTTGACTTGTATACTGTTTTTTTTTATACTTAATGAGTTAACGTTTTTTTTTTATTTAACGGGCTTAATGAGTTAAGAACTTAATATCATTTTGCGGTTTGCAGGTGCTTTGGGCCGATAGTGGATGGAAGCCAGTGGCACTTGTTGATATAATAGAAGCAAATGGGGTGAAAAAAGCGTACAATCGAGCAATGTTATGTTTGCACCCGGATAAATTACAGCAAAAAGGTGCGGATTCGAATAAAAAATATATGGCCGAGAAGGTGTTCGATATACTTCAGGTAAATTCCGAAAATACCCTTGTACCAATACACTTATAATTTGATCATTTTGGTGTTGAAAATTATGATTGCTTTTTTGGGTTGTGGTACAGGAGGCGTGGGATCATTTCAACTCACTTGGTACTCTCATTTGACCATCAAAGGGCCCATTCTGCCAGGAATCAAAGATGTCGACCTTCACCCTGGCCCACCACCAAAAAAGACAATGTTTGCATTGTGATTTGTGAATGTGAATACCATCATTATGAAGTTTTGGACATGAAACAAGTTATATTATATACCTCAACTTTGAATTTGTTTTTTTTTTTTTTTTTTTTTGTCTATACAAACTTAGAGATGTACTACAACTATATACATGGTATTTTAATATTTACACAGTAATTCTTAAAACAAAATTGAAAAATAAAAAAGGACACAAATATATGGGATATATTAGGAAAATATTAAATATAGCTATAACTTATGCCCAAACCAGAAAAAGAAAAAATGGTTAACCAGGTTTTGGTCAATTTTTCAGTTCGGTGAACCAATTAATCTTTTAATAGTTGGTAAAATTATTTTTGAAGTTAACAAATTCATAATTAATTTCCAAAATAATGATATAATCTTTCGACATACAAAGTACCAAAATAAATTAACACTTTGGGTTTTAACGAACATTATCAAACCGAACCAGCAAAACCAAGTTATATCGTCATATTGTATTTAATAATAACAAATGATGGCAATTAGTATTTGCAAATAAATAATAGCCCCTTGTTTCTAAAAAAACTCACGAAATTATCAAACTTCAACAAGTTAGGGGAAAACATTACGAAGGATACAAGTACACCGTTATTAAAACCATAAACATCACAAAGGAAACATTATAAAGACAGCATTATAAAAGTATGCAATGCATGATTATGAAAATTAAACCCCAAACTAAAAGCATCAAAAAGTCTCCAACAAGTCATCCATAATTTGTTGGCAATTCTTCTAGAATTCATCCACAATTCATAAACAATTTAATATCCAAGTAGATGCACACTTGGTCCTTGAGTTGTTGTAGATCGGAACCAATAGACACGCAAGTAATCCGAGAAATAATATTGAAAATTATATCTAGAATAGTTGCAAATAATAAATCCTATTATTATTAATATGATTATCAAGTTTCGTCCAGAAACCACATCAATCAACCCAGCAGATATGTTGACAAAGTCGTTGCCCACGGAGAAGTTCAAGCTTTGCTTGGACATGGTTGATGTTCACATGAGGTAGGTCCTTTCGGGGACGAATGGCAGGAAGGGAGAGGAAGTTTTTGTTTGAGGTGGAGTTCAGATGATGCTCAAGTCAAGGTGGAGATTATTAAATGTGACTCGAGCATTTGGAGCATTTGGATCATGTTCATGAAGCATTTGGAGCACTTGGACCTTAATGGAGCACTTGGGGTTCATGGAGCATGTGACAAAGGAACGGATCTTCTAAGAGAGGAATGGATTATCAGACAAAGGGACTAAGCAAGTGCCAAAGGAACAGATCGTGTTCAAGGGGGTTTGGAGCACCTGGAAGGAGTTTGGAGCACTTGGAAGAGGTTTGGAGCACTTGGAAGGGATATGGAGCAACAAGGGGTCCTTGTTGCGCCACATGATGAAGAGATAGGTCAAGAGGGATGCTCTTGCGCCATCTTGTTTTCTTGTTGAGCCATGCATGTGCCTGCTGCTCATGGTGATGTTGTTGCTCCAAGATTGATGTTGTGCGCCATACTTGATGCTCTTGCGCTGAAACATCCCAAAAATACAGACCAAAAATTTCATTTTTAAGTTATGATGACGTGCCTAGGGCAGCACGGCAGAAGCACGAGCCGGACACGCCAACCGGCCCTAGCCCAGCAGGCTTAGCGTCGGCTGGCACCCCCGGGAGTGGAAGGCACAGGCGAAAGGCTCACACACGCCAACCGGGCCCAGCCCAGCAGGCTTAGCGTCCGCTGACGCCCTCGGGAGCGGAACGCACAGGCGAAAGGCTCGCGCCCGCCTAGAGACGCTCCCAGCTCCAAGACAAAAGAAACGGTCAGGAGACAAGCAGGAGCATCAGACCATTACCATCAGAGCCAAATAAGAGCGCCCTAACGGTTAAAGGCGCATGACTCTCCAATCAGCGCCCCTGATCCTGTCTCCCCAAAAAGCGATCTTGTCTGGTACGGATCAGGCAAGGGAGCTAGGTATAAAAGGATACGCTCTCAGACCTACGAGGTAAGCTCTCTGGACTCTCTAAGAGCGCACACCCATAGACCCTAAACACTCTCTAACTTGACCGTCGGAGCGTACTTCCGGGAGATCCTCCTGGAAAGCGGCTGACGGCCTTCTTTCTTTGTGATCTTGCAGAGGCAATCGAGAATCCAAGTGAACAATACCGATCGAGCCAGACCAAGGTCGCATCATTTGGTGCCATCCGTTTGTGAGATCAAGAACACAAACTAAAAGCACGAAAGTGACAAGTGAATGGCGTCCAACGGCAGTGAGGGACAACAGGCAAGTCCCATACGCCTCATGGCAGCGTTGGACGAAACACCGCCGCCTACAGCGGTCAGCAGGGTCGCTACAGGTGAAGGAAGCTCAACGGTAACCACTGACGGTGCCCCACAACCGCCAGTTCACCAGCCAAGAACAACTCTGGTGGGGCCATTTCCAACAACGTCCTTTCAGATGCCACCATTCTTCGTGCCGCCATTGCAACAAACACAACCGGTTCACTCAGCGATGATTCCACCAGGACACGTCTTCAACATCCCACCGTCGTTTACAGCGACACCGCCGTACCAGGTGACAAGGGGGCAGAGTTCAATGCTTTCAGTACCACCGTTGGCACAAATCATGATAGCTCATCCGCCACCTGTCTATTCACTGGCCGGCACATGGGCCGGACCAACCATCACCGCTAACAATAACTTACAGCAGACAACAACGGTTAGCCCTATGCACCCTATACACCCTTTCCCCTCCAGTTACCCCCTCCAACTACCATTCCAGCCGTATCCCTTTTACGGACCAAGCCCTGGCTACCACACGCCACCACCATATGGCTTAAACACACAATACCAACCGTCGGGAGCGTCCACCACCCCAGGCCACGAATACGTTTCCCGTAGTGTGACATCTCCGTTTGTCAAAGAGTTGTTGGACTAAGAAATACCAAACACAGCCAAACTACCGACGCTCAAGACGTATAACGGAACCATTGACCCGGATAGCCACATCGACACATATGAATGGACCATGACGTCATTAAAGCTTGATGAAAGGTTTTGGTGCACGTATTTCCCAACTACACTCGACGGCAACGCCGGCACGTGGTTCAAGACGCTACAACCGGGCAGCATTTCCAATTTTGCCCAACTTAAGTATCTTTTTCTTACCAACTTTATGCAATTACGCAAGTACAAGGGAGACTCTCATTCAATCGTAGGCTGTAAGCAAAAGGAGGGTGAAACTGTACGGGAATACTTCACAAGGTTCATAAACGCCACGTTAGACGTACCGGGGCATGATGAGGGGCTCATAGCCGGTGCCTTCACGTGGGAGCTTTTGCCAGGACCTTTATCGCAAAAACTCATGGGAAAGAAGCCTCTAACACGGGCCGAATTGAAGGAAATGGTGGAGCGATATTTGAGACAGGAGGATGGCGAAGCAGCAAAACAGGCCTACTTGAATGCAATGACTCCCAGACACCACAACCCGGGTCACACGGATTTCCGAGGGGGAAGTAGGCACTACCGCCAAGCGAGGAGACCACAGGCTCGGTTCCGACCGTTTGCCAAGGATGACAGGCGTGGTCGTCGCCCGGAGGTGTACACGGTGTCGGAGAAGCAACAGCCAGCCAAATCACCAAAGAACCGGTACTGCGATTACCACAAAAGTAAGACGCATGACACAACTAACTGTTCGGTATTAAAAAAAGAAATGGAAGAGAAGCAGCTTAAAGGGGACCTGGTGGAAATAGCACGAATTTTGCGTGCCAAGTTTGACGCTGAAAACGCTAAAAAATACCTCGCGAAGGAGTCCAGCCTAAGGAGATATTCGTGATACGGAGTAAGAGAAGCAGGGGAGAGCAACAAACGGAACAAGGGACCACCAGAACCCCGATGCGCACGCTCACATTCTCTGTTCAAGACCCTCGCCCGGAGGGATGGAGGGGCGACTACCCACTGGTAATCCAAGCCTCCATCAGGGATGTAATCATACACAGGGTCTACGTTGACACAGGAAGTTCGGCGGACATCATTTATGAGCACTGTTTCCGGCTTCTCCCAGATCGCTGGAAAGACAACCTACGGCCCACGACGGGGAGGCTGGTCGGGTTCACCGGCCATAGCCTATGGCCGCTAGGCACAATTCACCTTCCCTTGACCATAACCAGCCACGATAAGCAGCAAAAGAAAACCGCCTTGATTGACTTTGTGGTCATCCGACATGCGGCGGAACACAATATTATTCTGGGGAGAACAGCTCTCTTAAAGCTAGGAGCGGTTCCATCAACCATGCACGGAGTTATGAAGTTCGATATTCCAACGGGCGCAGCCACGGTACTGGCCACTCCACCGAAAGAATTACAATGCTTTACAATTATGAAACCAGCAGAGATAACTAAAGAGACCAAGAAGCTGAGACGTGACCCCGCAAAAGGAAAGGAGGTGATCAACGCGGAACACCCTGACCAGCCGGTCAGTATTAGATGTGATCTCCCGAGTCGCGTAAGAGGCGCGTTGGTCGACTTGCTCAAGCGGTATAAACACGTGTTTGCATGGACCCCCACGGACATGGTGGGGGTACAAAGGAAAGTCATTGAGCACAAACTTGTAATTAAACCAGGAGCAAAGGAGGTTAAGCAAAAGAAGAGGGTCCAGGGTGGGGACCGTAATAGGGCAATCAACGCCGAAGTGGCCAAACTAGCAGAAGCTGGAATAGTAAGGGAAGCAATATTCCCGACGTGGATCGCCAACCCAGTCATGGTCCGCAAGCAAGATGGGTCATGGCGAATGTGCATAGACTTTTCCGACTTGAAACAAAGCATGCCCTAAAGACTGCTACCCCCTCCCAAAATTGACCAGAAGGTAGAGTCATTGCAAGGATTCAAGCTGAAGTGTTTTTTAGATGCATATAAAGGGTATCACCAGATCTTGATGAGCAAAGAGGACGAGGAAAAAACGGCTTTTTACACGGACCATGGCACCTTCTGTTACACTAAGATGCCTTTCGGTCTAAAGAATGTCGGGGCTACATACCAGCGCCTAGTTGACTCGATCTTTGCCAAACA